TTTCATTTATATTGGATTTGTAGCCGGGCTACAAAGGCAGGGGCCGTAGGGCACCCTTTGCATTACCGAAGCCACCTGCAGGATGCAGGTGCCTTCTGCACTTCCGGCATTAAGACCGGATTGTTTCCGTTACGACATTAGTCATGAGATTTATTCCATTCACTCTTTAGCGGAGATGGCTTGCTTGCAGTAGTTCATTCCAGTCATGTTCTAGTTGTTGTCGCTCGTGAGGGAGATATATATATATCCCCCTCTTGTAGGAGCTGAGACTCCAGTTTCTCTCAGCCTTTTCCCTCAGGGAAATCCATTCGATTCTCCTCATCTACACCGCGTACTCTTCCCTAGACCCCAGTCTGTAGAGAGCCCAGCTACAAATTTCATGTATATTTATTTTGATACTATGTTGGCTTGTCTCTGCATAGTAGCAAGCCGACACCGGCAGGCGTCTCCCTCTCTATCTGCTGCACGCATCAGAGCTGGCAGAGCGCAGGCATGGTGATGCAAGCTATTGCCTATCACCGCCCATTTTATTTAGTGGACTTTAAGCGAGTGTCATTTGCATGTCAGATGCGCATGCTAGGCCACAGCCGATCACAGAGCCGCAGAAGACAAGAAGATTACATCCTTCTACAAGGCTGAAGAACCAGAAAAAGGTGGACCGAGTAAGCAAGAGAACAAATCAATTAGGTGGCGGTAGGAGGAGGAGGAGAAAGCGTGCAGATTTTGATGCTCGGGTCTCGGTCTAGTCCCGCGACTGCAACGATCGATGGGTCCGTGGGGTGGATCGAAATGGCAATTATTGACTCTACACAGAATGTTTCAAAAAACGCCGTGTCAACTTGCGAGGAGCTTTTCGTTGGGGGGTTTTGTTTCATGTGAGGGAGGCTACCTTGATGGGTTTTATTTTTGGAGAGAAGTTCGCGCGATTGTAGGTCCCAGATGCACACACAGCCGTCCTCGCTGCCCATCACCACCAAGTCTCTACTGCACGTCTTGTCCTGTTCGTGTTGAGTAGTGGTGGGGAGAGTGAGGACCCTAGCAGGTATAGAGTATCTACCCACGATCAAAGGATCAAGGTCAGTCAACTAGATGGACCTCGACCATAAACAAGATGAACCAACTTGACGTTGGAATGGCCAGTATAGGATTTCACAACGGTGCCTTCCTTCGACCTATAATCCCAAATTCTCACCGTCGAATCGAGTGAACAGGTTATCAGATAGCGCGAATTAGGCGTGAACGTGATGAATGTCCTGTGGAAGGATATGAACGGTTGTCAGGAAACGGTCAACTGGAAATTGACGACATGTAAGTGTGCTGACACGGGGGCATTCGTCTCTTGAGCTACGACCATCGTCTTGAGACATTGGCCACTGGTTGTATCCCACATGCGACTGTGCAGCGGGAGAAGAAGAGTTATGAGAGCCTTCCAAATGCCAATAAAAAGGAAGAAAGGGAGGCTGACATTAAGCCATCGAAACTGCCACTGACGATGACGGAGCCGTCGCGACTGAAGTCTAAGCAGCTGACGACCTCGCTATGGCCGGGAAGGGTGCGGAGGAGTTTGCCGGCGAGGAAGTCCCAAACCTTGACGGTCTCATCGAAGCTGCCGGAGATGAGGAGGGTACCGATGGGGTTGAACCTGACGCAGTAGACGCAATGGGAATGGCCGGCCAACTTGCGAATAGGCGCGGTGGTAGTTGCAGAAGTCGACCGAGAGAAGTGGGCGGGCGCCCACACATGCATGGTGTGGTCGTCGCTCGCGCTAACCAGGTACTCCGAGTCCGGCGACCACACTATGTCGTTGATGCCCTCTTGTCGCTCCCCATCCGTTTCGTCCACTAGCTTGACCATGAACTCCACGTGCGGCAATGCATCCTTCTGCGGCGGTAAAATCACGTGCCATATGATGATTGCACCGTCTGCACTCGCGCTGGCAAGCTTGGTCCCGTCTGGCGAGAATGAGATGCTGGAAACCAATCTGGTATGGCCCTTCAAGCCATGAGTGACTCTGGTGGAAATCTTGCCTATATCTGATAAGGAAGGTTGTGATCCTTCCTCTTGCGCGTGTTCCACGCACTCCTCCTGCTGTTGCTGGGCGGCAAGGCTTCCCCGATGTTGCTGCTCGTCTTGGTGCTGGGTCGTCGTTGTTGTGGGGTCTGTGTTGGAATCATCCTGAGCGTTAGTGGGATGTGAGTCGGTCATCTTGTTTCTGTCAGGCGGGCCGCCCGTGCAATCGACATCCTTCTGGAGTACTCTGACGGCAAAATGTATTTTCGAAGGTTCGCTTTCGCGAGATTGTTCAAAAAAAGAGTCTCGTCACAAATGTGGGGCGGGGCAGAAGGGACGAGGGTGGGACGTCTTGGGAAGACTGAATAAGTGCTGGGAATGCATTAGGCGACCCCGTCCAGTTGATGGCATTTTGCATATGCAATTTTGACTGGCAGACTGTTGTGATGTGAGGGATAGTATTATCTATTCTCCCGGACTAGCTAGAGGAGAGCCTTATCCTCTAGGCTGAGCCGCAGCCAAGTAGGCTACGTGACCTCAACACAGACCTCTTCCTTGTTATGACCTAGGTCACATAGCCTGCTCGCTGCGGCTCAGGAGGAGAAGGTAGTTCTCCTCTAGCTAGCAGAACTAATACACTACACTATCCACTGTGTTGGATAAACCCCGTGCTCCCGTGCAGACTTAGCTCAACAGTAGAGCACCTTGCATGTACTGAGGGGTTGCAGGTTTGAGTCCCGTAATCCACATCCTTTTACAGGTCATCCAGGCCGCTATGCACTGTGCAAGCTCCCCGGATGGAATTGTGGTGGTAGTTGTAGGCTGATTTGAGAAGGGTGTGACTGTATGCCGCAGCGGTTGCCCGGGGTTGGGGGGTTTGGATATACCCTGTGCTCCCGTGCAGACTTAGCTCAATGGTAGAGTACCTTGCATGTACTGAGGGGTTGCAGGTTTAAGTCCTGTGGTCCACATCCTTTTCACGGCTCACATCACCACATTCCTGGGGCAAGAGGGGGGTTCACAGCAAGGTTTGGCAAAGCAGAATTGGTGACACATGCGTGGAGGTTAACCAACCAACCACCAATATCACACCCTCTATCATCCTCACCCCCTATAACCTACCCCAACAACCTTCCACTTTGATAAGAATTTGACAGACAAAGAAGTCAGAAATTTTGCGCAACATGAACTTTTTGCATTGGAGAGAGATCAAGGAATTGCTGAAGCTGCTGGCACTGGGGATCTGGAGGAGATGGACCTCCTGATGATCCCAATGTTTGGCCAGATGATTCCCTGACAATCCTTCCCTCCAGTTGGCGACTGACATGGTGTTCAACAATGCCACCAACATACAGCAATGACATGAATGGTTGCTGTTTTACACAAATAAAGAGAGAGTTTCTGTGGGTAAAAAACACCTGTGTGCGGATCAGTGGGTCTGTGCCCGGATATATTGCAGGATGCACTGCAACATGTGGACCTTACCAATGGCCACCACTCCGGTCTAAGCACAAACATTGTGGAAACCAACCAGGTAAGCTCCAACTCAATCAGTTTGTCAACCCATGTTTCTGTGGCTAACTACAATTATTTGATGGCTTTCAAGTTACTTCCAATCATGAATTACAACACCAAAATTCTGGTCCCCTGTTGTGATTAAGATGATAGATTGCTAACTGGGGAATGTACAAAGGTGCGGAGGCTGAAGATAATCCCCC